TTCCCCTTCAGCCATAGATGCTGTATACCAAATTTGGTTGAAATTGGTTGAGTGGTTTTAGAGAAGAAGCTGAAAATGTTCAAATGTTAACACACGACGGGCGACGCACGACGACGGACGAAAACGGATAGCAATAGGTCACCTGAGTTACTCAGGTAACCTAAAAAGAGAATCATGAGGGTTCTCAGAATTCGATGATTTTACACACAATGGTTCACTGGGTATTAAATAAACTAACTAAATATATAGTTATGATGAGTAAGAGTGTCTCTTCCAGATTTGTGAATTTTATGGCTCCAGGATCAGGGTTCTAGTGTTAGGGCGGGGCTCTATTGATTATATAGTGAAAATGCATTAATTCTTTGAAAATCTTCTCTGCTTCTGTGTATTAAATAAACTAACTAAGTACATAGTTATGATGAGCAAGAGTGCCTCTTCCAAATTTGTGAATTTTATGGCCCCACGGCTAGGGGTTCTGGTGTTCATGGTGTTAGGACGGGGCCCTTTTGGTTATATAGTAAAAATACATTAAATCTTTTAAAATATTTTCCTTTGCTTCTGGGTTTTATGCCAATAATCCAAGTATATATTTATGATGAAGAAAGGTGCATCTAGCAAAGTGGTTTTTTATGCCCCCTGAGTCGGGGGGGGGGGGGGGGGGGGTGGGGGTGACATAGTCTGAAAATAAATTAATGCTTTGAAATCTGCTCTTTGATGTTAATCAACAATTTAATGATAAAATTTGCAAAATTTTGAAATATGTGGCCCCTGGGTCAGTGGTTCTTTTGGGGTGAGGTGCACAACTGGGTATAAAGTGGAAGTGCATTTTCTCTTTGATCTACCTCTGGGTATTAAGTAAATAGAGTAAGCATGCTAAGTTGATAATCATGATTAGCAATGGTGCCTCTTTCAAAATTGTGAATTTCATGGCCTCTGGGGTAAAACACGAACCAAATTTAATTGTTTGAAAGTTGTTACACAATACTCAGGTGACCTATAAGGTCCGTGGACCTCTTGCTTTTAGTAAAAATGCATTACTTCTTAGAAAATATTTTCTATCATCTACCACTGAATATTTAGCAAGCATTTTTAGCTCACCTGAGCCGAAGGCTCAAGTGAGCTTTTCTGATCAAAATTTGTCCGTTGTCTGTCGTTGTCGTAGTCGTTGTCGTTAACTTTTCACATTTTCATCTTCTTCTCAAAAACCACTGGGCCAATTTCAACCAAACTTGCTACAAAGTGTCCTTATGTACAGGGATTTCAAGTTTGTTCAAATGAAGGGCCACGCCCTTTTCCAAGGGGAGATAATCATGAATTTGTTAAAAATTAATGGCATTTTTAAAAAATCTTCTTCTCCAGAACCGCTAGGCCAGGAAAGATGAAACTCATGTTGAAGCATCCTCAGGTAGTGTAGATTCATGTTTGTTCAAATCATGACCACCGGGGCAAGGGTGGGGCCAAAATGGCCGACCCAAGTTTTACATAGGAATATATAGGAAAAATCTTTAAAAATCTTCTTCTCCCTTACCACTAGGCCAGGAAAGATGAAACTCATGTGGAATCATCCTCATGTAGTGTGGATTCATTTGTTCCATGACCCCCGGGGCAGGTAGTGTGTTACATAGTAATATATAGGAAAAATCTTTAAAAATCTTCTTCTCCAGAACCACTGGGCCAGGAAAGATGAAACTCATGTGGAATCATCCTCAGGTAGAGCAGATGTTTGTTCAAATCATGACCCTAGTTTTACATAGGAATATATAGGAAAAATCTTTAAAAATCTTCTTCTCCAGAACCACTGGGCCAGGAAAGATGAAACTCATGTGGAATCATCCTCAGGTAGTGTAGATTCAAGTTTATTCAAATCATGACCCCCAGGGCAAGGGTGGGGATCAAAATGGCCGACCCTAGTTTTACATAGGAATATATAGGAAAAATCTTTAAAAATCTTCTTCTCAAGAACCACTGGGCCAGGAAAGATGAAACTCATGTGGAATCATCCTCAGGTAGTGCAGATTCAAGTTTGTTCAAATCATGACCCCCGGGGCAAGGGTGGGGCCAAAATGGCCGACCCAAGTTTTACATAGGCATATATAGGAAAAATCTTTAAAAATCTTCTTCTCCAGAACCACTGGGCCAAGAAACATGAAACTTATATGGAATCATCCTCAGGTAGTGTAGATTCAAGTTTGTTCAAATCATGACCCCCGGGGCTAGGGTGGGGCCAAAATGGCCGACCCTAGTTTTACATAGGGATATATAGGGAAAACTTTTAAAATCTTCTTTTCAAGTACTTCAAAGCTATGATTAGTGATATTTAAATGGAATCATCCTCAGGTAGTGTAGATTCTAGTTTGTTCAAATGATGAATGCCTGGAGGGGGGTGGAGTAAATTCAAGCCTGATGTGCTCAGGTGAGCGCTGTGGCCCCTGGGCCTCTTGTTTTATTCTTATGCCCATGAGGACGGTTTTATCAATAAGAACGTGTTGGATCTGAAAGTCCTTGTATCAACGATTCAAAGGTTATGACCAAGATTAAAGTTCGATAGGTATTTGCAATAGTAGGTCAAACTCTTAAAATCAATGTTAAGAGGACAATTATGTCAGTACCCCAAAACAAATATGAAATGTAATGGTACGGTCAAGTTTTGGAAGATAAACAGAAAGACGGACAATTAAAAAAATATATGCTCTAAAATCTTTGATTACGGGGCATAAAAATTCTGAATGAAAAACAGCTTTTCATTTTACAACACGAAATTAATACACTTGTAAAGAACTTACGAAACTGATTAATATTCACTGTCAAACATTCGATTTTTTGTATATGTATACAGAGGGCATCCAATGTTTTGTTAAATTAAAGGGAATCACTGTCTAGTTTGTTGGATATGCCAGGGCATCAAAGATAGTTCGAAAAGTGGGATAATTTGCAAAACGGGCAAAGCCCGTTATGGGATAAATTATCCCACGTTTTCAACTCTCGTTGGTGTTTCTTGCAACAAACTACACAGTGCATATCCCATATACTCACATCTATATGCGAAATAAAATTGTAAAAATAATTTCAATTTCAGACAATTAACTCCTTTCACCTTACGAAATTTACATTAAGGTTTAATTATCAAGATATCATTTCACTAACTTTCAAAGAGTTATCACAGAGAAAACAATTAGAAATAAAAAATATTATTAAACGAAGTTACTAAAAACAGATTTTTTTGTAAATATTCTTTTAAAAAGGCAACTTCACTTACAGTTATAGTCTGAATGCAATAAATCTTGCCACAAAAATACCAATCCAACATGGACAACGAGTGATCAGAAAAGCTCACTTCAGCTTTCATCTCAGATGAGCTAAAAAGCTTTTAAGATAGAAATATAATGTTATTCAACTAACTAAATTTAGTACGCTTTTCACAGGCACTTCTTTCGGAAGTATATTTTTAACCCATAGAACTGATAGGGCGTTCATAATTATACCCCACGCAACTAGTTGCGTGAGGTATAATGTTTTTGACCCGTCCGTCAGAGTGTCAGTCAGTCAGTCAGTCAGTCCTTTTTTTTTGTCAGCGCAACTCCTCATAAACCGCTGCACAGAATTTCGTCAAACTTTGCAGGTATTTAGGACACAATGTGTAGACGTGCATATTACCAGGAAATTCCGAATCCATTATTTTTTCCGGGAAATTCCGCACTTTTTAACTTAGGCATTTGGCCATACCTTGAATATAGAGATGAACAGATTGTCAGCGCAACTCCTCATAAACCGCTGCACAGAATTTCGTCAAACTTTGCAGATATTTAGGACACACTGTGTAGATGTGCATATTACCAGGAAATTCCGATTCCTTATTTTTTCCGGGAATTTCCGCACTATAAACTTAGGTTTTTGGCCATACCTTTTATATAGAGATAAACAGTTTGTCAGCGCAACTCCTCATAAACCGCTGCACAGAATTTCGTCAAACTTTGCAGATATTTAGGACACAATGTGTAGATGTGCATATTACCAGGAAATTCCGATTTATTTTTTCCTTTTTTTAACTTTTTTTCAGTTTGTCAATTTAAACCGCTGCACACTTTTGCAGGTAACACAATGTGTAGATTTTTGGCCATATTTTTTCCTTTTTAATATAGAATATAGAAAGAACAGTTTGTCAGCGCAACTCCTCATAAACCGCTGCACAGAATTTCGTCAAACTTTGCAGATATTTAGGACACAGTGTGTAGATGTGCATATAACCAAGAAATTCGGATTCCTTTATTTTTCTGGGAATTTTGGCACTTTTCAAATTAGATTTTTGGCCATACCTTGAATATACAGATGAATATTTTGTCAGTGCGACCCCTCATAAACCGCTGCAGAATTTCGTCAGACTTTGCAGATATTTAGGACACAATGTATAAATGTGCATTTTACCAGGAAATTCCGAATCCTTTATTTTTCTGGGAATTTCCGCACTTTACAACTTAGATTTTGGGGGATATCTTGAATATAGTGATTAACAGTTTGTCAGCGAAACTCCTCATAAACTGCTGCACAGAATTTCATCAAACTTTGCAGATATTTAGGACACAATGTGTAGATGTGCATATTACCAGAAAATTCCGATTCTTTCATTTTTTTTTCCGTGATTTTCAGCACTTTGAGTTTTGGGGGAGCGTGGGGTATGTGAGCTTGCTCACTTTTTCTTTCATTGACATAGTATGCCATCAAAAATGACATCTCACTTACAAAGACACCGAAAGCGTGGGACCACAATTCTTTGAATATGCTTTTATTGTCAATAATACAGTTTTGGTGAATTTATTTCTTAATACATGTTGAAAAACAGCTCATAAACATAAGTTCATGATAAATATGAATTTTTATTACATATAAGCAAGCCATACAAACAGATACTCGACGAATATATCGTCAGAGCATAATCAAGCCAAAAAAAATTACTTAGGAAGTGTCTATTTGAAATAATTCAAAGATTTTTTTTTAAATTTCAGCGGAAACATCGTTTTCCCAGCTATAAGATATCGATCAACAGAGCCATGCATGTTGTAAGAGTCTTAATGTATTGTCTTAAATAAAAAGAAATGTAGCAACTCCCTTTTTTTTTTAGAAGTGGTATATAGAAATTTAAAAGCTGAATGTGGACTAGCATACTACCAGTCAGCCAGGCGACTGACATTTTGCCAATATATAATTCTTTTCCTGGTCTTCAACCATAGGCCCATATCGTAAATTACATATTGTCGTTTTAAACAATCTATTTAACAACCCGAGGCTATTTCATTAGCTACTGGAGGGAAATGGAGTCTTTTGCCTTATTGAAAATTTCAAATTGCCAGTAATCATCCCTATTTTTTAGCTAGCGGAATTACACAAACTGGATTGAGTATTAAATATCGATATTTCCCGTCAGAAGTAACGAAAATTGATATTTTATATCGTTAAACTACCTAGCGCTTACTCTTGAGAAAAAGGTAGAATATATTAAAATTAAATTCTAGTCTTACATTGAGAACGATTGTAAACATAATTTAACATTTTTTAACTAGAATGGAAATAAATTTAAGATTGATTATATTTATTGTTCGTTTATTTTGGAGAAAGAATTGTATGACTACTTAGTTTCTTAAATCCTAGAAGAAAGGACCATAATGTGGAGTATTATGGACCTATTTGAATGTATATATATTCCCTTAGGAAAATTCCTTTAAAGAAATTCATTAGTTGTAATGCCCATTATCATATTTTAACAAGTTTTTCAACGGAACCTTGAGACAGGGAATTACGGAAAATCTACATCAGCCCCGTAAAACAGACTTGGTTATTAAGACTATAAAAATATTTGTCCCCCACCCAAGTTTTCTTTCCTATTCCAACGATCTTTAAAAAGAAATTTAAAGCATTGACATTTTTCAAACTCAGTGATTAAAAGAGATAACTGGATGTCGATTGATTAGGAAGTCGAAACCCTGATAAGGAGACATCACTTATGAACTTAACTAGATGAGATAATATATGTTATGAGAAGTTGTTACATCTTTGATAAGAAAACACCTGCATCAAGTTTAACTATCTCAAGGAAAATGTTCATATCTTAAATTTTATTACCTTTGGATACATTTCAAAACGCCTTCATTAAAAAATTGATTTTAATTCTACAATTGATAGGTCAAAGCAAAGTGGCAAGCACTGGCTATAATTCGTTGGCGTTCGCCTGCAACCTGTGATCCGTGTATTAATTTACCTGTGCTCCAGACCAAAACACTGCTCTGTCATTACCTTTGAAGTTACTAATCAACTTATAAATCCCTATCGGCCACCGTCACCTCACTGATGTAATTAATATAACCATTTTTACCGCTATGCTAACATAAAGCAGTAGACCAAACAATAGTCGAATTTTATATTTTTTATCAATAAACATCCTATTCTTTTTTCTCTCGTCAGAAGTGTGTGAATAGCAGTTAGTTTAATTTCTTCGGCTATGAAGTCAAAAATGATTTATTTATCACAAATATGTATGTCGTTAAATATTTTGTTATCATCAGTTCCACAAAACCTTTGCACAGTTAATTGGAACATATGTCTAACATGTCTACAGTAACTAAATGTCAGTAATTTTATGGGGAAAAGTAACTGCTTTTTTACTAGGTTTATCGGTATACATGTATCATTGATAAAGTCGGATTTCATCGGAATTTCCCCTCTGTCTCTTATTATCAAAAATACGAATATAAACATTTCTGATTAAAAAAATGGTGATTTTTCTATAAACATTTCTGATCTTATTTTTCAAAGAGCTAATCACAGTCTCTTCCCACATTTTTTCAATAGGTATATCCATGCTTTAGGCCCGAAAGCTCGCTACTTTAATTATTTAGAAAGTCTGTTTGCAATAGAGCTCACTTAAGGATAATTTGTCATATACGTAGGTTTAAATGGAAAAGGTTTCTTCATCGTTATCATAGCAAATATTTCGACAGTGATTCCACAAAATTAGCCTATTATGTTTATGAGTAGGGTTGAACTTTTTCGTTTTCCTTTGAAAAGCAAAGGTCTTGTGACTAAAGAAGTGTAAAATGAAGTATAGCCTTTGTTCAAAAAAGATTTTTTTGATGAAAGTGGTTTAATCAAAGCCATGAATTCATATGTCATTATTTGACTAAACGATTTTATACAGCACTAAAAAGACCCCATACTTGATTTTATCGTAATTTCTATTTCAGGAAAATTTTAAACTGCCCAAATCCATCATCTTAAAAAATGTATGAAAAAAACCCAAACACACAATGAAACAATCAAAAATATCTTTAATTACACTTAAATGACCAGTATACTGACACCCGAAACTCTAAAAATACAATTTTTGTCCCCCGCTTGAAAAGTGGGGGATAATAATTTGGGTTTGTCCGTCCGTCCGTCTTTCTGTAACGCTTTCGTTTCCACACGATATCTCGAGAACCCTTTGAGCTTTTGCAATAAAATTTAGCATAGCAACTCCCTATGGACTAAAGAAGAACCCTATTGATTTTGAGGTCAAAAGGTCAAAGGGCGAGATCATAAATAAGCAAATTCTGTCTGTTATAACACTTTCGTTTCCACACGATATCATCCGAAGGACCGAGGCCCCGTGTCACAGCAGGTGTGGCACGATAAAGATCCCTCCCTGTTCAAAGGTCATAGGTGCCGAGCATAGGCCTAAATTTGCAGCCCTTCACCGGCAATGGTGACGTCTCCATATCAGTGAAATATTCTGGAGAGGGACGTTAAACAGTATACAATCAATCAATCAATCCACACGATATCTCTAGAACCATTTGAGCTATTGCAATGAAATTTTACATAACAACTCCCTGTGGCCTAATGAAAACCCCTATTGATTTTGAGGTCAAAAGGTCAAAGTTCAAGGTCGTAAATTTTTACATTCTGTCTGTGTGTAACACTATCATTTCCGGGCGATATTTCAAGAAGATTTTGAGCTTATGCAATGTAATTTTATACCAAAACTCCCTAGGACCTCTCTCACCCCTCTCAAAGTGCCCCGCCCCGTTTGTTTTATTAATATTTATAGTATTACGTCGCTATTTTTAGCACAGGGGCATGAGGAGAGTTATTGCGTATAAAACAGGTTCTCGGCGGACTTTATGTTCTTATTACATCTATTAGAACTGTTTAATAAAGGCTAAATAAATCAAACACCATGGATTGTGTAAAATTTTGACAATACCGAACATGAATATATACATGTATGTGACTTCACTTCTGCATATACTTAACTCTATGTAAAGCGATTCCGTGGTCTTGTGGTATGTTTCTCGCTTCCTATGTGAGAGGTCCCGAGCTTAAGTCCCGGACGGACCACTTTTTGTTTTAGAAAATAGGTTTTTTTTTAACTAAATAATAGTATTCAGCACGCGAAATGAAAAATTTACGAGGTCTGGCTTGTACAAACTCATAAAATCATCATTACAGTGTGATGAATGTTCCATATAAAAGGAATCTTCTATACACATAATTAAGAATAAGCAATCAAATCTGTATATCCATATTGACATATTTTATTTGCTTCAGTATACATGTATACATTTAATAATTCTACAAATTCAGGAAGATCCGACCCCCCCCCCCCACGAACTGCGCATGGTTTACTTTTTCCCTAAGCGGGGGATACAAATTCTCTGTATTAGCTTGTTGTATTTGGATTTAAGCAAAATTATGTAATGAAAGATCTCCAATCTTTCTTTTTAGCCCTGATGGTCATACTCTATAAAACCTTGTGCGAGAGTAAGGTGTTCGTCGACCGTCTATCTGTAACCAATTTTTCAAAATGCTTCTTTCCCTTCTGTTTTGGTCCGATTTCAATATAGTTTGGTACACAAGAAGACCACACACTGCGATACGTATTTCTTTTTATTGGTTTTAATTTGATTTCGATAAACAGTCTTGTCATGGCAATTCAAAATAGAAATTTCTGCAAAATTCTTTCAAAATGCCGCTCCTCCTCCTTTAATTTTAGTTCATTTTCAAAATAAATTAGTACAAATGTGAAATTCTTCCAACTTGTTTTTCCCCTACAATTTTTTTACTATTTTAATTTTATTTGACTCAGAAAGAGCATAAACGAAGTATCCTTATTATATATATTGCTGTTGAAATAGTTTCAATGCCAAGAATAGTGTTACCTTTCCATTATTTCTTAAGTTAACAAGCAAATTCAAAGAATTGTGGTCCCCCGCTTTCGGTGTCTTTGTGGGTGAGATGTCATTTTTATGACATATTGTGTCTAATATGAACACCCTTTCATATGTCATTTATTTAGAAATTATCACTGAAGTTGATTCTTTTTAAAAATAAGGTCAATTGTCAAGGTCAAGGTCAAGGAGTAAGAATTCATAGCATGCTCGGAAATATCTTGTCACAGGTAATGCACATAGCAAATATGAAAGTCCCATCTCTTCTCAATATAAGGAACAAGATGTGTTTGTGAAACACAGATGACCTCGTATGGCAACATACCAAAGATTTTACATTTCTGAAATGCAAATGAAATATATTTGATATTACCCAAAGTAGGGTTTTCAGACAAGAAATACAATTGTGAAATTTTATGTCCAAGACACGATGTAGTTACGATATCGACACATTACTTTTTTATAGTTTACTATAAAATTTCTATATTCTCATGTGTTTAGTACAATACTTTCTGTTTCAAGATTATTTCCTTACTGTTAATATCCTCGATATCGTGCCGATATCGAATCATGGTTGCTCCAAGAATTGTGATTTCCATAATTAATATGGTGTTTTTAAGAACTGTTACTTAAAAATTTCTTTATAAATCTTTCCCTGATGTGTCGATATCGTTGATCTCGACGATATCGCTTCGATATCGAATCATGTTTGCTTAGCCCTTGGTAAATACCTTACCTGTTTCTTTGAATGTGTTTATGTTTAGATACTTTACTTTAACGAAGATTTTACCTGCCATCAATATCGTCGATATCGACGATATCGTATCGATATCGAATCATGATTGTTAAGAGCATGTTACTTTACCAATCTTCACCCTAATACAAAAACTTTATTTTTACATCACTTCTGTGTTTAATAAGTTTACCTTACTGTCGATATCGACGATATCGAATCGATATCGAATCATGATTGTTAAAACATTTTCAAGAATTTTCACCCTAATCCAACATCTTACTCTAAATCTAATCTAAAACAATAACAACCCTAAATTTTTCTTAATCATATTACTTTATTTGTACATTTATATTCATGCCAATAAGGAATCAATTTTGACTTCACTTGTGACTTTCTAAAATTCTGTTATACCTCAATGTGAAAATAAATTGTGCAAATAGGATCGATATCCATATGATATCGTCATGATATTGTCGATATCGACGACATCGACATAATATAGAGTCTCAAATACGGCACCAGGTATTTTCAATTAATAGTGCTGATTACGATCGATATCGATACGATATCGACATTATATTGTCGATATCGACATCGAATTTGTTCTTGGACATGTATGCCCCCCCCCCGTTCAAAAGAAAGTTATGGCCAAGGATAAATTTTTGAAAGGTAGGTCAAACTCCAAGGTGAAAGGATCTGAGTTGTTGATTTCTTAAAAAAGGTCACAAGTAATACATATGTGAAGGATGAAAACCCTAACCTTAACTGTTTAATAGTTATGGCCAAGGTAAAAGTTTTGGAAAAGTAAGTTAATCTCCAAGGTCAAGGTCAAAGGGTCAAAGTTCTTAGTATCCAATGAAAGGTCTTCTCATAAGCATTACATATGTGAAGTACAAAAGCCCTAGCCCTTACCGTTCAAATGTTATGGTCAAGGTTAAACTTTTTTTCATAAGTACGGAAATCTCCAAGGTCAAGGTCAAAATGTCAGAATGGTTGGTATCCAATGAATAAAATGCATATGTAAAATATGCAAGTCCTAGTTTCCACCATTCAAAAGATATGACCAAAGTAAAAGTTTGGATTTTTTGTGTAAAAGTGGGTCAGACTCCAAGGTCAAGGTCAAAAGGTCAAATATGGTGGTACCCAAAGAAAGGTCTTCTCACAAGGGATACACATATGAAATATGAAAGTCATAGCTTTACTAAATCAAAAGTTATGGGCAAGGTGAAAGTTTTTGTGACGGACGGACAGACTGACAGAATGACAGACTGACAGACAGACGAATGAGATTTAATGTTCCCTCGCTTTCGCGAAAGCGGGGGACAAAAACACTAGAGGTACAGTTTTGTCATAGATTTCTGGCTAGGTTTTTTTTTTAAAATAATACCACCAGTTCAAAGACGTTCATGAATTGCTGAATATTTAAACTATTTTCATAAGCCCTATATCACACGAAATTCAGAAACACAGAACGGGGAAAAGTCTTTCTGCTGGAGAAAAAAATGACAATAAATAATTAATAACAGAAAAGAAAAAAAAGTATAAGAAAAAAGCAGATTGTCACATGTTAGGACATACTTAGATCTTATTAGAAGAGATTTTAGCGGCTGAACTGTAGCTAGCAGCTTTGGAAAAAATTTGACAGACAAACCAGAGAGCTAGAGGTTCAAGCATTGTAAAATGGTTCACATGTCCCTCCTCGCACAAGGCTTTATACGAGTCCCCTCACTTACGACTTGATAACCCCCCTTGTTTTTAATTATTTATTTTACTCATATACTTGTATAATTTTAAATGGTTTCAAACAATAAGACACTAATATAAACATTTACAATTATCTATAGTTTCTAAGTATTTGCATTTTTTTGGGCTGTATGGTTTCAAACAGTTCAATAGACACTAATATAAACATTTACAATTATCTATAGTTTCTAAGTATTTGCATTTTTTGGGCTGTAAGTAATATTTGATATCGCGATTACTTAACTTAGCGGAACTCTTACGCGATGGAAGTAGGATACGTGTGCTGGATGGGGACAGATGTGCTATTGATTACAATGCAAAATCGATCATTGCAGAATTTATAAGGACAGACAAGTAAAAAATCCTGGTGGAATACCTTGCTTACAATCGCTGAACCAGGCTTATCAATTTTTGAGAGGAGCTAATCCTAAAATGATACATTTTCAATGATATTTTTAACTAAGCGGACTCTTCTCGTTAATTTTCATTGAAAATCGTCACATTTTAAAGTGATAAAATATTCTAAACTTTCCTTATTTAACAATCGACTATTTGGAGTTCAATCCATGGCAATACATTGTGCTTCCGGCATTAAATTGTTCGATACATTCGATTGTCACTACTGTAATCAATGTCATGTGCCGCAGAAATCTTGAGAGATTTAGAGCTTTCTCGACTCCCCCGCAAAAGAGCGGTAGAAAGTTAGATAACTGCAAAATACTCGCGTTGTTACGTATTAAAGATACATTTAAATATATTTCTTTTAACTATTCATATTATTAATGGATGGAAGTACTTTAAATTTATTATTGATGTAGTATTGATCCGTACATCGCATTAATGGAAGAACTCCATTTCAGAGAAAGTTGGCTTTTAGAAATAAGTATTAAGTAATCTTGAGTTAATTGGTTTTCTAAAAAGAAATGAAAAGAGAAAGAATTTTATACATGTAAATGTAAGTAAAAATCGGACACAGTCAGCGGGGGGTCCAGCTTATGTTTGTCGTAAGAAGTTACAAGGGTTTCTTCTACAATGAGAGGGCGTCTCCATACGAGTGAGAAATTCTCGAGAGGGACGTTAAACAATATTCAATCAATCTACAATGAGACTGTAAACAACAATCAGTCAATCATTCTTACTTTAGTGTTTACAATACATGGGGAAATCACTAAGATATGTTTTTATACTTTTTCAGATACTTTTATCTGAGTTATCAACCCATTTTATATGAAACTACCGCATTTCAGTCCTACTGATAAAAGCATACCAAAAAAATTATTCAAATATTTGATTAAGTTGCAAAGATTAATTGGTAATACCAGGGCATTCAATTAATCATAGCAGGGCAATTTGTTAGGGAATTAAAATCGTTTTGTTAGCAAACCTCCATGATAATATAGTATATGCGCTCTTTGTGTTCTGGATAAAAAATCTGGCATATAACAGGGAGCAAAGACAAAACAACACAGATAGAAGAAAACTAAATCGTTTTATGCAATAACAATTTAACACAGGACAGAATCGCAATAAATATAAATCAGTCGTAAACATTATTGAATAATCTATCTGTGCGCGAGGACTTCCGCTCTTTTTGTGATCCGTTTGTCCTTAGAGTCACGTGACCATTGGTATAATCCACTGACACATATCGAGTACTAGCGTACGAACTAAGATTGCGAGGAACTTCATACTCTGTTTTTCTACACAAAAGCATTGTTTTTATCCTCGTCCGAATTTTCTTACTGAAAAGACAATAGATAATAGGATTTATTCCACTGTTGGCGGATCCCAACCATTGACAGATGGGGATGACGTAATTAAACACCGCTATATAATCTTTTGAGTCTGGTTCTAGTCTGATTTTTATCTGTATCACCCACAATGGAAACCAAGAGGCAGCAAACATTACTACCACTACGACCAGCATTTTCACCACTTTTATTTTTGATCTGTGTATTACACCGTTTGATCCATACACACCAGGCGCCTTCCGGTTCCATACTTTAAAGCCTATCACACAATAGCACGTGATAATCAACGCCAGAGGGAGGGAATAACAAAACAGTAAATTTCCAACAAGAAAGTAAACTGCTTCTAGTGTAGCTGATGGCCACTTTGTTAAACAAAAGGACATCGTCACTGAGTATGTGTCATCTATATTATATACCAACAAGTTAGGAATCATGATAACAATACTGAACAACCAGATGCCACACATAATAATTTTACAAGTCCTCCAAGTAATCTTGTACTGTAAGGGATAACAGATTGCCAGGCACCTGGAAAAGATCAAAGAAACATATAATACACAAATGCGTCAGAACAGCTTATTATTTACACAACCCTCATTTTCATATTTTAAGAAGAGCAATATATCCCAAGAAACATCTCATTATTGCGAAGAAAGACAAATATAATCACTATAAAGCACTATGTCTAAATAAGATTATTTTCCTTCCGCCATTTTTATCCTATTCAAATATTTGAAGCTAATGAAAAGTTACTCGCAAAATACATTTTAAAATTGGATTAATTCCATAAAATTGCCTTTCAACACGTATTTTTCATCAGGTTGAACTTCGAATTGATCAATGTGTGAACTCAAGAAAAGAATTGTAAGCTATGAAAAATGATTTTCAACGTGTTCAGGAGTCCTAATTTTCGGACCTTATCTTTATCAGTTACTGGTGATTACATTTAAATTTGTTTGGTGAAGAGAAATTATTTGATTACGAGGAAGCGTGCAAGTTTGAAGATGATAACAAAGACGTGCATCGATTAGGACAAAATTTTCATAATGGCAACACCAAATACAGTGAAACTTGCTTTTAACAAATTCCTTAGGGCACCAGTGTTCAGTTTCTTTTATTCATCCAGAAACTATGTGTCTATTCTTTACATGTTGTAAAGTTCTAATAACATTAGAATTCCCTACTCGAAAATTTATGGCAGTTGCAAGGGATGGGGCCCTGACTAAACTCCATCTGAATGCAATTACAAATATTAATCCTACATCACCTCGCAGGATGATCATTTGATAATGTAAGACATAATAATTAAAACACAAATAATGTACATAAGTAATGATAATTATATTGTTTTGTTTAAACATATAATGTTCATAATAGTATGTCATTTAAATATCTATAATATAAGTAATTGAAAAGGTTATTATATTAAATTTTACAATCAAAAGAAAATAGAGTATATGTATATACCAGTGTTGTATTTAATAAGCAACTTATTTGATGCATTTATTTTAAATTATGGTAAAAAATGGCAAGACGAAGTTTAAAAGTCTGTTATTGATTTAAAACGGTATTAAAACACTAAAAGTTGGGTCAAAATATGATGAGTTAAGTTCGTCATCTTTAATGTCCCTTGTCTTATCTATGGTATCACAACGAAAATTCGTTAGGAAATTACTTGACAGATTACCAGAATCTAAAAGTAATGCGTCTGCGGTGTCTCAAATTCATCTCCGAAAGAGTTTTAATGATAATAATACCGAAAGAATGAAATCTTTGCTTCTCAAAATTGTTTTCATGATATAAATCACGTGGTCGTATATACCTATCAATGGCGATGGCTGCCAGGGTATTGACGGAGGCACAAACTGAGATCCCCTGAAGGTAAGGTGTCAACTTACATAATACAGCCCCGTACCGCCAATCTGCAAGAGAAATTTTAGAATGATCACCGAGTTTTTAAAATATTTTTCTCAAGGGAATAGCCATATAAAAATATTATAGAATACTGATATTCGTTTTAAAATTGTATCATGCTATATGAAAATATTGTTTGAAAGCAATTTTTTATTTTTTTTAGGAGAATTAGCATTACGTATTTATGACAAAAGTGAAAAGTATGCCATTATGTCAGTGGCATTATGGAAATCAAGTGCCATGGAGGAGTGAGCATCCCATGCCGATTGGTCACACTCACCGTGTGCTTCTTGTTATGACGGGAGGTAACGGAAAAATCCGTTGACTATTCAGTGTGTATATAATGGCTTATAATTTTTTGTTATAATTTAAACATGCATGTCCAATTTTAGGAATTGTTCCACATTCAAATGACCCTTACATTTAGCATAGGACACAAATTCAAGGTAAATACACGGATATTAATTAAAATATAAACAATATCCTCATAAACCGAGAATAATTTTCAGAAGAAAAACACAGAAAAAGCAAGAATATTATCTTGGCAATGTCCTCGACCTTGCTGATATGCAAAAGTCACAACAAAACTTTGTTTCATTAGCAAACTTCAACTTGAATTGTTCTGTTTCAAAGATATTGCCAATACGATTGAACAAACAGGAATCACCTTCTTGTAAGTCTGTTTGTTTACTCACGCAATCTTGTCTAGTCTATAACGTTGTTATGGAGAAATATTGAAGTTCATACTTTTTACAAGACTGCTTATGACCCAATGTGGTATGGCCTTGACATAAGGTCATTTCGATAAGTTCAATGGCAGATTAGGATTTTTTTCTGGGAGAAACCTTTGTTTTAAAGAATCACGTGTAGTTCATACTACGTACAGTAATTGCTAATGATTCAAGAATGTCTCGTCTATTTACAGGGATTACTTTTAATCCAAGGATGTCTAACATGTGGACACAACGTCATATAACTACCAAAAGAGTTGAGGTACACTTGAATATTAAAAGATAGTAACTCTTTCAAACATTGCTCTAGCTCATTTATGTTTTGTTATATTTAAGAGAGAGGAAAGAAGAAAGAAGAAAAGAGAGAACATTTATAAAATATATATGGAATCAAAGGCATATTTTAATTTCGACTAACATTTGATAAACAACTTTTTTAACAACATTTTAATGTGTGTAACTTTAACTTTCTCATTGTTTTATTTTACTTTCATAGATTTTGCACTAGCATTAAAAAAATCATTGGGATTTTGTTTACCTTTTTGGTATAATCAAAAAAAAATTACGAATGACTTCTCAAATTTGAGAGGGAATAAAGGATTCAGCCTAATCCACCTCCCCCTAAAAGATTCATTATTTATTTTATTTATTTAACTCAAGGATACATGTATTTGTTGGTCTTGTAAAACAGGGACATTCATCGAAAAAAAAAACTAGATATCGATTCTGTAGAGAAAGTTATCACACAATTACAGCCAAACAATGCTTTATCTATAGCCTTTGTTAGAAACACCATGCTTTGATTCAAGACTTAAATTGTGCAAAATTTTGCGGATGCGGATTAGTTGAATGATGGTATTCTTACTACTTTTAACATTACCGGCCAGCTCATTGGAATGGAAGATGTAGTAAAATCAATATCTTACGAGATTTAGTTGATTAAAATCGATTAAAGGTTTTGAAATGTGTCGTTGATTATGATTCATGTATTCAAAATATTCCCGAGTCCACTTTTTTTTTGTGATCGCCTTGGAGCGATCACCGTGTTTGTCTAGAATGACACATCCGCTGTTGTCCTATTGGCATGTTCTTTTGATTCTGATTAGGAAGACAAATGATGTTGTTTGTTTACAGTTTAATGTCCTATGCCACCCCTACTAATGTCTTCGGAACCTTTATTTTTTTCGGTGTTTTGCAAGTTATAAAACACGAAGAGTTCAAAGTAGCTCTGGCGAGATTTAGCGAGACTACAGCGAGATAAGGTAAATTATTCACAGAAATGTGGACAGGAACGTAATAGGATAGTGTTCTGAACTTGACACAGACTTCATTTTATTATAAATATTTTCTAGTTACATGTAACAAAATAACAAATGTCCGTGGCATCTTTCCTAGTTTGTTATCTTTATATTTTTTCCATAAGAACATTTTAATTGCAGTCCATTTCATATCCATCATAGATTAACCTGAACCACGTGTTCAAATTAAAATTTAAAACGTAGTTGGCGTAGACGCTTCTATTCATTTAACGATTGGTCATTTGTTCGTGGTGAGATCCCCTGTGAGCCTAAATAACAATTGCCATATAAGGTAAATATTAGGTTGTAAGTGTTGAAGATATTACAATTTTTTAACTACTAGTGTTTTGGGAGATTTTAGAAAAAATGGTGGCTAGTGAGTTCCAATTTTCGCTATGAATTAATAAAATTATCACTACAAAGTAGATATGTGATTTTTAACCCCTTTTTCTGTTTAAAAGTCATGAAAATCTTTCAGAAACGTTGTCAAAGGACATATTTTTAAAAGAAACAGACTAAAGCAATTTTCTTTTAACTGCCAATGTTATTTATAAGACCGGTTCTACCCTATAACCTTTGAATGAGTCAACAACACCACATTTTGAATTTCAATCACAATAACATTTAGAAGAATGTATTCGTTTCCACGAAATATTAACATTTTGGCAATTAAGCAGCAGAAATGTATTGAACAATTGAATGAAACATATGGATATAACGAATATCATTCAAGATCAAAAGTCCATAAAACAATACAAAATAGAAGCAGAGCAAACACGGACCTCCAAAACATCAGATGTGGGATCAGCTGCCATGGTGGTGAGAGCATCCATAGTAACAGAAATAACAGTCGGGTAAATATCAGATTAAAAAAAATCTTGCAACTAATATAAGACTCTGAAGAGCAACTGGCTGTAAAGATTATTGAATAAAAACAGGTTAGAAGTAAAGCATAATAGTGCCGAAGTCATACTAGTATTACGTATAACGAACTGTTATAGACAAAACAGAATCTTCATCTGATAGGAAGTATTTAATATCATTGAATTTATTTTTGGCTTCTTAATTTTGTTTGTTTGTTGTTTGTTTGTTTTTCACTCATATGGAGACGTTAACACTTGCCGTGGAGAGCTGCGAATTTTTACCTAAACTCGACACTCATGGTCATTGAGCCTTGAGGGACCTTTTTCGTGCCAGCATCTACTGCGACCAATAAAACCCTCGTATTTAGAGTGATTAAATACATCGGACAACTTCCTTCTGTCAACTTTAAGAAAAAAAACTTTTACTGAATCTTAGTTTCCCCATGTTTGTGCTTGTTTTTGTCTTAGAGCTGAAGATTGATGTCGATTATTTTTAAACATCATGTTTCAGAGAGAAATACCATCATGATGAGAATTTCTTACAGTTACATTACATTTGACATTCTTCAAGGGTAGTAACCGGAATTTTACGATTTTGCAGTTTTTAGTTGTCCTTTTTTCACTAATTTTGAAATAAAGAGAGAATATCGTAGGTAGAGTTTGTCAATGATTATGTAATAATTTTGCATATTATACTAACTTGATAGGCTATTTACACACTTAATTGTCTGATTTTTTCCGTTTGCCTGTCCAAGACTGGGAACACTCATCGGGTGCTACCAGTCAATATGGGATGCGTTCTCTTCCACGACATATAATTCCTCATCTGATGATCTTCGATTTCTATTTTTGCTCTGCTCCAGTTTTGTATTCCTTGAATGGATCTTTGAGCTTGAATTCATGTAAAAAATGTCACTAACGCCAAAGATGGCCAGAGGATTACGTTGTTTAACGTCCCTTTCGAGGATTTTTCACATATATGGAGACGCCACAACTTGCCGGTAGAGAACTGCAAATTTTGTTCTATACTCGGGTACAGCCTTTGAGCAGTGGTGAATCTTTTTCGCGTCAGCTCCTACTCCGACACGGGACCTCGATTTATATGGACCTGTCTCCGCGTCCACAAGTGGGATTCGAACCCCCAACGCAAGGATAAACTACTTACTTCACGACTCTAGACCAGACGCTCTAACCACTACGCCATGCGGGCGACTGATCAGATAATAATTACTCATCAAATCTCAGATGCCGAACCTGAACAGGCCTATTCTTACTTATCAACGTATTTTTGACCCCAAAAAGAAAAAACAAACTTAAATTAATGCACCTTCGAGTCCTTCCGTTACTTGAAATTATTCAAGCATCCGTTAATTAACAAACATTTTACTCTACTATTTTCGTTGGTGAATGGCTCATTTCGAATGGTAAGAAGCTTTTTAGGGGGAAAATATTTGACATTTTAGATAACATGTACGGTCTATTTAAGTTTTAAAAGTACATGTTACTTTGAAGAGCTCTCACGAAATTCCTCCCCCAAAAAGACGATATATTTCATGTTTGTTACTAATTAAATAGTGTCCATTGAAAGAAAGAATCAGGCTTTTAATACAGCATTAAAAACTTAGGTGCATCTCCGAGATACGCTATCAGAAGATTCATTTATAATTATCCATTGTATTTTGGTTTGAAACGTGTATGCGTAATTGAATTAGAGAATCCAATTAAAATTTACAGACTGTTGGATGTAAGATATATGTCATTACCAGATGCAAGATAAAAATCTTTGAAGCTGCGATGTGGTGTTGCAATCATTAACGTTTCAATTAATTTAAAATAAATCAATAAGCAGATAAGAATTTCAACGAAGATTTTAAAAATGAATGAGATCAAAAGGAATTATATTCCCCAATAACTGATTTTTTTTGAAAGATGCTTTTGAATATTATTTTCATTTGATACATAGTATTAAGAGGAAACTACTGTACACGTATATTGAATTTCAATGTGCTTGTTTCATAAAAGCAAAATAAAAGTGTTGACAGACTTATCAATATAGTTGAAAATAAAACAAAAATCTCACACAATTGTTGATAGACAAGAAATTAATTGTCAGCATATACAATTTATCATTGAGTCAAATGCTGACCGACGTTTTTCATTCCAATTATTAGACCATTATTTACACACTGAATTGTCTATATACAGATTTTTCTGTTATTTCCCGATCATGACAAGAAGCACACGGTGGGTGTAACTGGTTGGAAGGGGATACTAACTTCCCCTTAGCACCTGATCCACCTCTGATGTTTTGGAGGTCCGGTGTTTGCTCTGCTCCCATTTTGTATTGTTTAATGGACTTTTGAGCTTGAATACAGTTCGTTATCTCCAAAATATTTCATTGCAATGTCTCGACCTTGTTCAAGAGACCCCGATTTCAGCAGCTACATGTATTTCCTATGCTTGACTTGTGAATATTAAGTTCTATGGTTAAATAACACTGGAAATTGTCTTTTTACTTATAATTAGTTCGGCTGGGAATAATAAAAAGCTTTACTATGTTTCAAGCTATCAGTCATTAATAACTTTCTGTAACCCGTTTCTTGAGGATTTTTTGTAGATGAAGTCATTCAGACGTACACATTGACACAAAAAGCAACGGGGAAATAATTAGAAAATAATTTAAGGCAGACGAATGTCTAAATACTAAAGTTTTTGGGCGTAGAGAAATTTACATACGGGATATTTTTCTGGTTCATTTTTCAATATACGGTACTTGCAATATTTTCGTAGGAAAAATGATCAAAAGCATTTGGGTGCCAATTTTGTTTTCTTAAATTTGAAAATTTCCTTCACTAAATTCAGTCTTTGTCAAATGTAAAATAGTTTCTCGAATACTTAGGTCTATCACAATTTTTGTCATTCGAAATATCTTCATACAAAAAGAGCAGATCTATCCAATTGCATTGAATTACTATGGATTTATAACAATTAATTGTGTTTTGTTTTGGAAACTGAAATTAAAAATTCAGCAACTGATATTCTAGGTTTAAAAGTTTACTACCCAGAGGTAGAGCTTTGAACCATTAAATATAAAGGCTAAAAATGAATGAAAAAAATCACAAACTGGAAGAAACGTAGATTACGCCATTTTTTCATTTTAAGAGAATAATGAACTCAAGGGTAATGGGAAATAAGTATACACCAGAGATTTGTGGTAAAATAGATCTCATTATAGGACGCCTGGAGAATAGCATTGCATGTGTTCGTATAATGGATGAATTGCTCTGGATATTTTCACGTGCTTTAAACTGTTAAAGAACAAAACTGTCAAATAATTTAATTCATAACTCGAATATATCAAAGACAAAACTTATAATTGGGATATTTTCTGCACAACGCTCGGTTTGAAACTTTCCAGACTTAAATTTACATTATAACACCTGTAGGAGATTCTTCATTCTGGGAATTCGTGGCATCCCTCCACATAAAAACGGATGAATTTGAAACGGAATTAATTATCTGTTTAATTTTTTTTTTTGAATTAAATAACAAATAACTCGCCCGCTTGGTGTGATAGTGGTTAGGGCATTTGTTCAAGAATTGTAGAGAAAAGGGGTTGATCAATTATTAGTCACGGGTTCGATTCCCACTGCGTGACGTGGAGACTGGTCCTTCGGATGCGATATTGTAAACCGAGATCCCGTGTCACACTAGATGTTAGCACAAAAAAATGCCTTGCAGCTCACTTATCCTGAATGCCGAGTTGGGACTAAAATTTGCAGTTTTACATACAAGTGGTTGGGTCGCTATATGAGTTGAAAATTTTTGAAAGGAACGTTAAACAAACTTGGTTTTGACTAACATAAATAACTCATTGAAAACGACGAAAATATCGTAATTTCATATAATTACCTTCATTTATCAGTATATGCACGTATATTTCTGAATGTTTTATCAACATCTAATGAATTACGATGACTCTATACAATTTTCAAAAGCTTTATGATGCAAAATAATATTCTTTCCCGTTATCTATTGTTTTCTTTAAAACGTTGCGTTTTATTTTAATTTCCGTGAAACGGTTTTATTAGTAACCATCCTTTCTCATTACTAACAGGATATTCAAAACGGTAGCCGAGTTTCCTAAAGTAGATAGTCGTTGATTAAATTTCCATGCTACAGGGTTGACGTTAAGTTGCTTACAGGATATAAAATGACCATAAGGGCGCACTCGAGCGCTAAGACCAAAGAGACCGTGCACTCAAGCACAAAGACCTAAAAGCCAGTGATGATGTGCGCCCATTAGCATCCAAGTTAAAAACTAAGTCAAGTCATTTCAATGTTAAAGATTGATTATGGCCATTTTTCCATTAATGTTCCTGGCAAACTTCATCTCCTCTCGATTCGTTCACGGTTTAGTTTTTTCGGTTTCTTCACACTTAGCCAAAATACTGAAATTTTTATAGATGACAGGATTTAGTAAGATGGAGATCGTGTACAGGAAAGGAGAAGGAAAGAAAGAAGAAATTAATGACAGTTGACCTGTAGTCTAGCAAGATAAAGTTTATGGTTTGGCTCGATTAGAATATAAATTGAAAATTTTGGTGATACTTGTACTCGAAGGGGTTGTATGGCTACTGATATCACATCTACCCATTATTGAACAATAAAAGTACCTGTTCTTTCACAACCTCTAAATCTGTTAATGAACTATGCAATAAAGAAAAAAGATAAAGAAAAATAAAACTTCCGTTAAAAGAAATTTCAATTGTTTTCTAAGGTTTATTCACTAAATTTTTCTCTGATGACATCGTTTTATATTTGATATTCAGACAAAAATTAGACGATATTCACCCTCTGTTATAATATATTTTAGCCTGTTTTTATGGCATATCTGGTTATGCAGTTTCGAATATTCCATAAAATTGATATATTTTCAAATTTATTTTAAAGACCCCTCTCTCGATATATTTGTATACATTATACGTGTAAATTTATTGCAAATCAATTAATAAATGACGTTTGCATTCAGTAATGAGCTAGTGGATATTTGCTCGAGCCTTTTGGTCTCGTTTTATAAAGAAGTATGAGATTTATAAGTATTTTGTTATATTTCTATTTCACAACCCTTAAATTGTGCTTAATCTCTGATTTTCAAAATGCATTAATTTTGACTTGCTCATATGAGAAAAATTTAAAAACTAGAAAATAGACACCATCACTGCAGACCTCACGTAAAGCTATTAAGCGCTCCAGATGCCTGGCGTTATGAATTATTGGACGTAAATATGTTACTTCATTTATTTTAGTGATTAAATTATGGCCTTTGGATCTTCCTGTAAACCAAAACCCTATAAAACATACGCGCTGTACTTTCTTTAAAGAAATTTCTCTGAAAAAGAAATGGTGCCAATACAATACAATTCTGAGAATAGTTCAAACTGACCCTGAAAATTCTAATTCTTGGGGTTGTGTTAAACAAATATTGAATTCATTTTGATTGATCGATTGTATATTGTTTAACGTCCCTCTCGAGATTTTTTCATATGGAGACGTCAACTTCATTTTGAGCAAACTCTACTGAACTGAGTTGAAGCATTCCATTTAATTGTAAAAATGAATGATAAATTGGTTATAGGTTTTCTTAACACACTGAATGTCTAATGTTTAGAATTTTTTTTAAAAAATGCACATGGTCACCTTAAAATATTGCACTAATTGGGGTAGATACAAATTTTGAATTACATTATTGCATGCATATCTATATGAAATACTTACCTATGAATATATTTATCATTGTATTGATTGGCATGACAACGATAGCCACCAAAAGGTCTGCACAGGCCAGGTTTACGATGAAAAAGTTGGTCTTGGTGTGCATCCATCGATGTCTGATCACCACAATAATGACCGTGAGATTTCCAAATAAAGCAAAAAGAAATATCAACGCATAAGCTACCGAATAAATAATTACCACTTCCAATTCGTGCTTAAGTTCTCGTGTAAAACTCACATTTAAACTATCACTGCTAGAATTTCTTTCCATTACAGAACAATCATAAGTTTCCTATCAGACAAGAGAAGTGTGTTGAAATATAACGTTCTCTTTTCCTGAGTCGCTACAGGACGACTCCGCTCTCGGGGATACTTGTGACCACTAAGTCTTAAGAACCGATGCCAGACCTATCAATGGGTATCGCTCTATAATGTTTTCGCTGTTCGACTAACGATCTGTCATCGTACTTTCGTTATTTGATCCTTATTGATTGTAGGTACACATTTCAAGAAACAGTTCTGCTCACAATTTTGCAAGACTTTAACGATTCCCTGTAACTTGGCACTTCATATTGTTCAAAGATTTTTTTATCAATTAACTCAATTATATGCTTCGAAAATTGGAAAGCTTCTTCCGACGTGACCAAGAGTGGGCTTTACGTGCGCATTACAAAAAGGTTTAATATAAATTTTATTTGCTGATAAAATCTACGTCTGACATGGCAGGAGTTCAAGCCAGCATTTCTTCCCCAGTTCATTTTCTAATGAAAATATTTATTTAATTGTCTGCATCCAATTTCTTCCATTCTACACGATTAAGTCAGCATACAATTGCGACCTTTAAGGCATAATTTTCTACAACAGAGATCCCTCTTAATTCTGAGTAAGTGAGCTTTATAGTGCAGACTACATCAACGGAGACGGACTCTAATTAAGTCCAGTGCTTTAATTTCTGGAAGAATAAATCCACAGAGACAGCATGTAAACATGTACCTTGAAGAACGGATAATGAACGTCATAAGCATTTCAAGATTTAATATGACCTGGTAAGAGCTCGCTCTTTACAATGACTTAATTCTACAACTCAAATTATAACTAGTGCTAATTGTAACGGGGACCGTTACAGATGTTCCCCAAACGCTCCCCAACTCTCTTTTTGTGCCATATTACCTGTAAGCTTCATTAAATAAGACAAACTCTATGTATTTGAGACTTTAACAACATTTACCCGGAAGTGTACGAAGTTCATTCAAATTTTAGCATTGCATGCGTGCGCATGCGAATGCCTGTGCGTAATGACCATATCATTTTGTCTACACAATCCATATATTTTAATATACTAAGAATTTAAGTATTTAATCCAAAAGTAATAAAAAATACGCTCATTCAAGTTTATTTTTGATTTTGTTCATTTCACGTGCACGCACGTGCATACATGAGCAGGGTGACCATACCTTCTTGTAGAAGTCCATTACATCTATCTATGTTCTAAATCCCACCCCATATGGTTGAAAACCAAGGGCGTTATACCTGTTAAAAGTTTCAGCCAATCAGATTGCAGCGCACGTACACGCACGTGTATGCATGTGCATGGTGACCATACCTTTCTTGTAGTAGTCCATTATATCTATCTATGTTCCAAATCCCATCCTGTTTGGTTTGAAACCAAGGGAGTTATAGCTGTTTAAAGTTTCAGCCAATCAGATTGCAGCGCACGTACACGCACGTGTATCCATGTGCATGGTGACCATACCTTCTTATAGTAGTTCATTATATCTATCTATGTTTCAAATCCCATCCTCTTTGGTTGAAAACCAAATGAGTTATAGCTATTTAAAGTTTAAGCCAATCAGATTGCAGCGCACGTGCATGCACGTGTTTTCATATAATTGCTATATATCATATTGTAGGATATCCTAATGCATGGCTATGTTCAAAATTTCAAAGCAATTCGTCAAAAAACAAAAAAGATATTGAGATTTTTGTTTCAGCCAATCAGAGCGAAGCGCACGTGCATGCGCGTGAGATCTTGCTATTTTGACCATGTCATATTGTCTATGCTACTAATGTATTCTTATATTATGAGTTCTAAAGCATTTCATCAAAAATTTAAAAAGTTACATCTATATCAATTAAATCGGTCATTTATCATGTTGCACGTGCGCGCTCTTGCAAGCACGTGCGCGCAAAATGACCTTTGTTCCGCAAATCTACATCACATGCCTACTGACCCTAAAAAGGTTTTACCTAAGTTGGATGTGTAGTTTACAAGATCATTCCCGGACAAAAAAGTACCCAGGAAGAAGAAGAAGAAGAAGAAAAACTAGAGCAAAGCTCGTTGCAAAGCAACGAGTAGGTCTTCCGTCCTGTTTGACCGGAAGTAGTTTTCATTTTTAAAGAATATGAGAAATAATGCCCCAAAATTGGTTGAATCCTCAAAATCTATGTTAATTAATGCAAAAATAAGCCATTTTTTGCTACTTCCGGTTTGACCGGAAGTGACATACATGTTCCTAGTGACATAAGATACCCAAAAACTTGTCAAGAATGACCAAAATACGCGTTTTCCGACTACTTCCGGTTTGGCCGGAAGTGACGTCATCGGACGTATTTTGACGACGCCCGTAGATTAAGCTTGACATTTTGAACAACTTTGCTTCTTTGATGTATTACAAATTCTCAATACTTTTTTAGATATAAAGGAAAAACTTATGGCCCCTCCAGTCCCTTAATATAAGGGGCCAGCCCTTTTTTCGAGATATCATTTGAAAGATCTTGGAATTCTACACTTCTTTTGTTCTATATGTTATAACAAAATATTTCAAAGTAAAATGATATCATAGAAAAGGTTGTAAAAGTTTTGAAATTCGCGATAGGACAATTTTCGGGCCATAGCGAGCGCCGACGCGCGGCACTTGCGATAAAAATGAAATTCATTTTGCACATCTATAGACCTAGGACTATCATTCCTGAAATTTTCACGTTTCTATCTTTAGCCAGTTTTTAGAACGTTCGCGGACAACCTGACCCTTCAAAAATCATAAAATCGTCAATATTTCCGGACCGGAAGTGACGTCATCAAACCGGAAAAAAATGAATCAAGTTCAAGTAATGTTACATGAGTCCTGAAAGTTTCATGGAAATCCATCGAGCCGTTTTTGAGAAATCGCGTGCACAAAATCGGTAAGAAAAAAAAGAATAATAATAGGTAAGAAAAAAAGTGAAAAAGAAACCGAAGAATAACAAGAAGGTCTTCCGCTGAAGACGGAAGACCTTGATAATAATAATAAGAAACAGAGTAAAAACAATATGTTCCCCAACTTCGTTTGGGGAACATAATAAACATTATCTAACTTGTTGCAATGACTTAATTCCACAAATCAGAATATTGCTACCATGGCGTTAGTATTCTAACTTAATGCAAGAGAGAGTCGAGTAAACTTTACTAGATCCCGCTCATTGAAAATAATAAAAGACTGAAAAAGAACCGCAATTAATTTATTATTTCATTCAGTTTGCCAATCAATTTAGTAGATACAATTTATCTCCCACGAGACAAAATATATATTCTACACTACCGGAACATTTGATGTCAAGAAAAGAAAAAAGTGAGTACATTTGTAAATCATTTGAACTGGTCCTGTGGAGTTATCCATGGTAAAAAATAATTTAAATATAGAAACAGCCAGACTTCTATCTATCTACCTATATGAATTGTTTTTATAGTCTTCATATATTTTGACAACACGTGAAAAGTCACAGACATTGCGGTATCCTTGAAGAGCATGATTAAGAGATATACTCAATAAACAATCAAACAATTTTATATTTCTTTACGCACAACCTCGCATCACTTCACTCCTCCCAACACGTGAAAGATATTTCTTATTATATCATATTCGCTTGAAGATGTACAAGATGAGTTTCTTGACGCAAAAAAGCCAGTTTGGATAAATAAATATAACCGAGACGATATTTTGCACTCATGTGGAACACATAAAAATCAAAACTAAAGTTTTATTAAAGCAAATCAGGGAAAAAACGAAAGTAAAAGTCTGTCAAAAACTTTTTAAAGACGTATTAGCAGTATAATAACTTTTTAAAGACGTATTAGCAGAATAATAGCAATATTAACAATATCATTGTCTAATACCTCGGGAATGAACCAGACCTACTTTATCATGGCATGTAGTAGAACAATGTTCAAAAGAAGGGTCGTTGCGGTCACCGTTTGGCGCATGCAGAGGTCTGGCAAAAAATATTTATTGACGTACCAGAAACCTGCAGATCTGAGAGCTGAAATATCTTAATCTGTAACAAATAAACATTGAAAACCATGCGCAACATTCAGTGATACGTGATGTGTTTTGACACGTCAACTACACTTTAAAATAGCTCGGGGAAGACTGGCGTCTTCATCTTGTCTGCACAAACAAAATATTTCTCCCTCTGAGTTGTTCAGATAATACACAGGCGATTGTATTCATTTCAAAACTTTAATAAATTTTTGTTTGTCCATTGATATGTCATAAGCTTACTTGTTCTAAATTTCAAAACAATTTCATTCATGGGCAGGAATGCAAATCATTTAAAGACAATGTTTTTTAAGTCTCATCAACCACATATTCGCTAGCTGCAAATCCGTACAGTTTAAGATGCAAGAATGTAAATAAATTTAATAATTTCTATTGAATATCTAATTTCATGTTTTTATTAAACTTTAAAAGTAATAGAATGTATCAATTATAAAAATCATTGTATTGTAGGTCGGCCGCGTGGCGCAGTGGTTAGAGTGTCTGCTCTAGAGTCGCGAGGTAAGGATTCAATCGCGGATTTGAATTCCTCTGTGGGACGTACGTGGAGACTGGTCCTTCGGATAAAACCGTATAAACCGAGGTCCCGTGTCGCAGTAGGTGCTTGCACGAAAAAGATCCCTCACTGCTCAATGGACCTACGTGCGGAGTATAGGACATTTTGTAGCTCTCCTCCGACAAGTGTAGGCGTCTCCATACAAGTGAAAAATTCTTGATAGGGACGTTAAACAACATACATAAATCACTGTATATCGTATGCGAGATACACGTTAAAATAGAGTACATGTATTTATTTTTTTTTAATCACTTGGGAAACTCGGACCCTTTCGAAGCCGACTTTTGACATTTTATTACTCTTGAAATGATGAATATTTGGTTATCAGAAATGCTTTCAGGATGGATTTAATTATAATGTTTCAATGCAATTATAATTTAATTTTAAAATGCTTAGCTATAGGTGCGCGTTTATCGATCAGTAGAGCATGTCCGATTTCAATTAAATTAATTTGCTTAGTTAAAGTCTGTCTACATCTGTGCAACTCTCTTTACAATCTTTATAGTAAATCCTTTAAGCGTTTTAAGCTAATAAATGTATTTTGTTTGTTATAAATATATCTATAATCTCGTTTTTAATGCTGACTTTGTTGTAGTCATCTTGAGCTTGTTGTAGTCATCTTGAGCTGATTGCATTGCATTACCGAAAGTTTTAAGAACTGATTCGATATCATGCCCAAACTTACCCTTCTTTCAGTTTCAAAATACATATAGTATTAGATGAAGGATATAAAGATAACGAACAGTATTCAATATCAAAGTCCATAAAACAATAAAAAAA